AAATAATTCAGCTGATCAGGCCCCCACTGTATCGAAGTGTTGGGAACTAAGATGCCCAGTAGTACCCTTATTCCCTTTTTTGTAGTCCTAGGTTCCTTACAAAGTTACCCAATACCAAAAAGGGAGCCCTTTCTATTCCTAGGTTACTGGGCATCCTAGGGAAAGCTCCTCCAGCAGAGCCTCAAGCAGTCCGTTGTACCCAATTCCCAAGACGTTAACGTCTTCATCATTACCTGGCGGATCGTATGTAGTTCCATGAAATGGTCCAATTTATTACAAAAACGCTTCACGATGAAGAAGGCTATGCAAAACCTGAAGTCTACCAAGTTAACACTAAGCCGGACCTTTTCTATATAGCCGGTGTTATTGCTAGGATCCTAAATAAGAACAAACCTGGGTTGTCCTTTGGGATCATTTGCAATTTCCTCTGCTATTTTGTAGAGAACCATAATAGTAAATAATTTTCAAAGGGCTTAAAGGAGAACTCAGAAACCCTAAACCCAAGTAGCTACTACAACCATCAGATTCCCGAGGTCCTCAGTTACCCAAATACTTACTGACCGTAGATTATGTAACCTACGGTTGATGATATAAATCGGGAATTACCCATAATAAGGAAGATGTGGGAATTATGGTAAATTCCTTATTCTGGGTCATGCAGGATTTATATCATCAACAGTAGTAACCCATTTTGCACTGTTACGCATGTTCTCTCTGCGCGTTCCAGGAAATTCTAGAAACACAGCCGGACATTCAGGACGGGGTGGTGACGGGACCCGGAGCTGCGCCGCCCTAAACCTCACGTAGAAATCACATCTCTAGAACCCCAGACCCCAAATCCGAAGCTAAGCCCTAAATCCCAACCTGCTTTGGTCCTGATCTTTCTCCGTGTTGTTCGGACAGAATCGAGCTTACATGCCATCCACCGGAATGTCAACACCATAAACATCCATAAGCCATAAACCAAACCAACAAGAGTCTAGAGCGGGCCCTAGAAACCCTAAACACCTAAACCCTAAAGCCTAAACACACCTACATAAACACACCTAAGTCAGGGTTTGTGTGCAATTCCTGCAGGTGGACAAAAGGGGTTAAGCAGAAACACACCTACATAAGCCCGAAACTCAGCAACAAGGAACCCTAAACCCTAAAACCCTAAATCCTAAACCCAACAACCCGAAACCCCTAAACCCTAAACTCAGCAACAAGGAAGCCGGGTGCTGGTACTCGCCATGTGGATTCGGGAGTTGAGGGCCGTCTGGTGTACTCTGGGTAGCCATCCCTAAACCCTACAGTAGAAGCCCAAAAGTTGGAAACCCAATAGCCTCAGTCCTTAAGAGTAATGTTAAGGGAATCCCAGCACTATTTGGCCTCAATCCGGTTTCCAACTTTATGGGGTTTGCTGTAAGCCCTACCTAAACCCTGAGGAACCTACCTTTTTAGGGTTCCTTATTATGGGTTACACAAGTCCTTAAAAGGGTAGGTTATTCCGGTTTAAGGTAACCCTCAACCCCTAAACACTAAAGCCTAAAGCAGATGATGGAGCCATGAACCCGTTCGATCTTAGTCTTCTTGTGTTCAAAACACCCCCAAGCACAAGCCGACATATGTGCCTTAAGCGGGTGAGAGCCCCTAGTTAAGCCCTACTTGAAACGACTATAACCAACCTACTATAACCTAGTTTCTTGCAGGTCCTTATTCGAAGCCCGAATTTGCAAGTTACACCTGCAGGGGGTCCTACAAGAAAGCGGTTGTGGTAGTTCAAGTTAAACCGTAAGCACTAAACCCTAAACCCTAATCGTAATCCTATAGATCCGAACCCCAAAGCAGACGCGCGAAGGACGGCTGCGGCGCGGCCGTCGCATTGATTATAGGCCCGCATCCTTCTTGGGGTCATTTGCAGGCTGTCAGTGGGAGACAGTGTGGCGCTTGAGAAGTTAATGTAAAGGTCGGAAGAATTAGAAAACCATCCTCCTACAGGCCCTATATACTTATATATGGGAGTTTCCGAAAATTAGGGGTAGCTTATTTTGGGGTCCTTACAATAAGGATCCTATTATTTAGGGTGCTATATCACGGTCACCTATCTTCGGAACCCCCCCCATAGTATGGCAGCCCGAATGTTAGTCCTTTAAAGTTCCTTATTCCAGCTATGGAAATTACTGTTATGATTTGGGGAAGTATCCCCCTAAACCCTAAACCCCACAACACTACCTAGGACCCGTTGGGAATGGATGCCAAGGCTTTTGAGGTCCCAGTCCTTTTTTGGGTTTAGGGTTTAGGGTTTAGCAGGGTTCCTTAAATCATACAGGGGCTCCAAGAATAGAAGTGGAATTTGGGAGCTGTGTTTTAAGGATGATTTTAAGACTCGTACCTGAGGGCTGGGGCTATAGATTGTTCTAGGGTTGGTCTTCGCTTTCGTCTTGGTATACTAGTAACAACTTAGTATTCCCACCCTGGTCTTGGTCTTCTAATAAATAACCGCGCTCAGAGTCCCGCAGCTGAACGGCCCTAGCGACGATCGCCTACATCTACAATTCCGCCCGGGTCTCAATTCGGGGTTTAGAGGGGATCAGGGGTTTTGGTATTCGGTGGTTTTGATCTAGGAGATTAGGGTTTGGGAATTCAGGGTCTAAGGGTTTGTGTTATTTTAGTAAGGGTTTTTAGGGGTTCAGTGTTTCGGGTTTGTGTTTGTTTTAGAGGGAGGGCAACGAATTTCGGGGTCTAGGGGCGGGTCACGGTCCTTGGTATTCGGTGATTTTGTGTAGGGTTTGGGGATTCAGGGTCTAAGGGTTTGTGTTGTTTTAGTAGGGGTTTTTAGGGGTTCTGTGTTTCGGGTTTGTGTTTGTTTTTGAGGGGGGGGGTGTGATTTTAAGACCCTTAAGTAAGCTCCCCAAACCACGCCCAAACCAAATGCCTTAAAGACCCTAAACCCTGCAGTCTTAACCCCTAGACTGTTAAACCTATATATACTAACTAAAACCCAAAACAAACCCCTAAACATCTAAACCCTAAACCCATGCCCTAAACGAACCCTAAACCCAAACCCTAAAAACATAAACCTTAAACCCTACTTAACCCCCAACCCCCCCCCCCCCCTAAAATAAATCTCGAGGTCTCGCGTCGCCTTCGCCTTCTTCGCTGGTTGGATTGGAGGCCGGGGGTGGGTTCTTTCTAGGTTAGGTTGGGTTTACTGGGTGAGCCTGCTTAGAGGCCCCAGTGAAGGGATTGGGCGAGCTCTTCGGGGCCCCAATCCAGAATCTACTGGGTGTGCCCAACTTGGGCCCCAGTAAACCAGGTGAGCTCAAACGGGCCCTGGTATTTGCTGGGTGAGCTCCATTCGGGGCCCCAGCAACCAGGTGAGCTCAATCGGGCCCTGGTCAACCACTGCTGGGTGAGCTCCCTTGCGGGCCCCAGTACACCAGGTGAGCTCAAAAGGGCCCTGGTCAACCTGCTGGGCGAGCTCCCTCACCGGGCCCCAGCAACCAGGTGAGCTCTCGAGCCCTGGTCCACCTTGCTGGGTGAGCTCCACTCGGGGCCCCAGTACCCTGCTGGGCGAGCTCCGTTGTGGGCCCCAGCAACCAGGTGCGCTCAATCGGGCCCTGGTCCACCTTGCTGGGTGAGCTCCACTCGGGGCCCCAGCAACTCCAGGTGAGCTCAATCGGGCCCTGGTGAACCTTGCTGGGTGAGCTCCACTCCGGGGCCCCAGTACCTACCCTGCTGGGTGAGCTCCGTTGTGGGCCCCAGCAACCAGGCGTGCTCAAGGGGCCCTGGCTAACATCCACCATTGTGCTTGAACCTGCCAGGTTGGCTATGGTGGTGGACGATTTCTGCTCTGGATGGTCTCGGAGGCCGGTTCAGTTGCAGTCTTGCTCTTGATTTCGAATGTCTTTCCCAAGAATTTGTTGCAGGTCTTCGATTTCGGCTTCGAGGCAGGTGACTGCCATCGCCAAATCGGTTCCCTTGCAGCATTCCATGGCCAGGTGGCATGCTTCGGCTTCTATTTTGAAGCTGGCGCCAGGAGCTGAGACTTACACGCTTTCAGTTCAATGATTTTTCCTCTTGGTGATTAAGGTCCCAGACTGAATTTCATTGCCGATGTCAGCTATGTTCACAGCCGGGCTGGTTTCTCAGACTCAGATGCTTAACAGTTTAGCAGTGAATGAAGTGATCATCCCGTCCACAATCTCGGTGGAGTCCGTGCACAGCTGGGTCCGCAACTTATCGTTCTGGTTTCTTAGATTCTTGAGAGTGATTAGATGATCATCAGGTCAACAAGTTGGACATCTCGATTTCGTCTGCGCTTTCGACGGAGGTGCCGCGAGCATAGCTTTTTATTATGAGTCTGTGAAAAATGCATGACAGGCTGGCTAACAGAACCACTCGGATGGGCTTCGAGGCAGCTGCCCTAGCTTAGCATGCTCAAACTTGGTGTGGAGCCATGTTGTGCATACGCCAGGTCCCGCATTTCTTCCTCATCATCATTGTTTTGGTTCACGGTGCTTGCCGGAAGAGGTCCCTTCAGCTTCTTCTCGTTGCCGAGAGGGTGCATGCATGACATTCTTGCACCATTGCACCAGCTGACTTGCTTTGATTGTGGTGACCGGGCTCAAGTGCACACGTCGTGACATGAAGTTCCGAAGATCCTTTGCAGTGTCATGTCAGACACCCTACTTAAATTCAGTGATTCAGTCAGATCCTTGGCAGTCATGTCAGAGACCCATCTTAAACTCCTAATCGTTGATTCAGTCAGATCCTTGGCAGTGTCATGTCAGACACCCATCCTAAATTCTTGTTCAGTGATTCAGGGCTTTAGAAGTCTTTGTCAATAATGCTATGCTAATCCAGTAATACTTCTCACCTCATCCTTCACAGCTTCTAACCTAAATTTTGTAGCCCCACGTCGGCCATTGTCCTTCGCCTTCGCGGTTGGCCTTCGCCTTCTCCACGCCCGCCATCGTCCTTCGCCTTCGCCACTGGCCTTCGTCTTCGCCTTCGCCATGTTCTCCTGCACCACGTTGGACATGGCGGGCGTGGTGGTCCCCTTCGGCGCCGAGTGGAAGTACCCGAGTCTCAGCAGCTTGGGAAGCAGATGGAATGTTTGCATTGCAAGGGTCATGATCCACTGCAATGCATGTCACCGCCCTGTCAGCTCAGGTCGGCGCCAAGGGGAAGGCAAAGGCCGCGACGTGATGGCTGGGTGCCCTGGCTTTGTCAAGCGATAACAGTCAACAGAAGAGTTTTGCGAATTTAAAACCTTTCTAAGGTACTGCCACGAGTTCTACAAGGGCTACATCCACACAATGTGGGACATACGGGGAAAGTGGCCGAAGGACATCAAGGACGGCCGTGGAAGATCGTTGTCCCCAGCACGTGACTTGGCTCGTTTGATATAAGTTCTGTTTACTGGTACTGCGTAATTACTTATTCGGCGCCACCTGCTTATTGGGTGCAGCATTCATGGCATCCTGAGGCGACAAAAAGGGCCCCGCGGACAACGACTATGGTCCAGAAGGTCCGCCGAACCCCTTGACGAATCCCAAATTTTTTTGTCGCATGGTGACAGAAGGATGGGACGCGATAGTAGCAGCCGTGGTGCTTGTGTTTGGACTCGCTGCCGGACATGGGCCCGACGTCTACCACTGTGTGGCGATCTCTTGTTTCTTAGCTGCAATTTATGTTTTCTGGAACTAGTGACTGTATTAGACAGACGACCCAGCAGACTCAGGCTCGGCGGGCTGCCATCGCTCCCTTTCGGCAGCCATGGTCATCGCCTTCGTCTTCAATATGGGGCTTTGGTCGCCTTCGATGCAGAAAGAGTATGATGATCCTGAGAAGATTCCTATTTTCTCGAACAGGAACCCAGCTCTCCAGGAGGTCGTCGAGGTGATCAAGGAACTGACCAAGATCGCCGAGATCAAGCCATTTGTCAGAAGTTAGTTTAAAGGGAATTTGGGCTTACTTATATACTGTATATATATACTGTGTACTTTGTTTGCTTCTTGACTGTTTGCGTGCCTCGGGAAAGGATCTCCGAGCAGTGCCGCTACATGGGCTTGCAGATTCCGTCGGCTCCGCCCTCGGGTGCTTCGCCTTCGCAGCAGTGGTTGCCGCGGGATCCTCCGGGTCCACCACCTGGTGGTCCACCGCCGGCTTCGCCTGATGGTCCACCGCCGGCTTCGTCTTCGTCTTCGGCTTCGTCGGCCGTGCAGGCCCTGCTTATGAACATAATTCACCTGCAATGACCTGCAAGCTAGTACAGACACACATGGTAGTCCGTTAAATTCTGGCTGCGAGGGTGCCAAGCGCTTTCTCGCCGAGAACATGTACGAGCTGCACGGCCTCCTGACGGAGATGAAGGTAGACCCCTCTGCGTGGACGGTGGCTCGGCTTTTAAACTGTTTTTTTTGCGTGCTTACGATCATTGCTTGTTGGTCCTCGCTTCTTTCTTCAACTAAGATGATGGCGTCGCTTGCAGCCGAACGAAGCGACATGGCCCGCGAGTTCGTCATGCATGCGGAGTCGCAGCGGGAAGCCAACGGGGGCTACATCGAAGGCGCATTTGACAACCCGTCGGCTGCCGTTATGTGGCATTGCAAATCTCGCTTCAACCGCATATCCGGCCACTTGGTTGCAGTTGATTTGTCTGTGCACTGCAGACATGTTTGTTTGTCCTTAGTCCCCGCACTCCAAGGTCATGTCAAAGGCTCCGGGAGGCCGACTTGGTCTTCGCCTTCGGATTCCCGCGGCAGCGCTGGCTGGGGCAGCCGGGCCAGGACTCCTCGCCGCGGCTGAGGGCTGGCATGCGCTTTTTCGCCTTCGACTTCGGCTTAGAATAGTTGAACATGAAACATAGTACTTCGCCTTCGCAAGCAGCACTTCGTAGCAGATTGTAAGCTTGAAAGCTCGCCCACTTGAAGTCCAAGGCGAAAAAAGCGCATTAAGTCCTAAGATGCTGCCGTTCTGAATGCTCGTTTACCATTGGTCTTCGGGCAATATTAAGTCTTCCGACTTAATATACAGTCTTCCATCGAGCATTTTGGATGGCATGCGGTTCCATGACTGGGCACATCTGATGAGACCCTGTCGAACGTTCGCCTTCGTCTTCGGAATCTAACTGTTATATGTATTGACAAAGGCTTTGATATTGATCAAGACACTAGCGATAACTAGACCATTCGTTGGGTACAGCTCCCACTGTCAGTAATAATGAATAGTACTCGTAATATAGATATAATACGACCGTAATCGTAGCCCTATTGTAGACTGGTGTCTCTATTATAAATATAGGCTTTTACTGTAAGGGGGCCGTACCTAAACCATTCCATTCGACATGGCATCATTCAGCCCGTCATGGAACCAAGTGCTGTGTGATTCACGTCACGACCACAGCACTTTGCTGAGCTGGCATTCTTCCCGGCGAGGGACGCGACCAGCGGCAGCTGCCATTCAAAAAAGTGCGTGTGCCAATGCATGCAAAGCATGATATTGAGTTCTGCATTACCGCTTCATTTACCACTGTCTCTCGTGCCAGGTTTGACCAGACCTTGTCGACCAAATGGCTCGCAACTCAGCTTGCCGTTCACAAGTCCGTCCAGGCCATGTACAGATGTAAGCTTTATCATCTGAACTTCCTGCCAGGTCCTGCCATCATGATGACTTGGGCTTCGACTTGGTTTTCGACAAGGCCCGGCAAGCTCCATTGGGCAGAGAATAGTGCTAAGTCGCATTCTTTACCCACGTCATTGGTCCGTTTCCACACTTGAGCACATCTTAATTTTGGAGGTACCAGCACTGCAACCCATAACATACCATCTAACATTATTGCTATAGTATACGGGAATTTTGGAATGGAACCACTTGAGTCATTGATAGGATGGCTTTAAGAGAGCCCCAAAGAGGCATTCAATGGTTTCAGTGTTTGAAGATTTGCGTGCGTTCATGACACAGCTGCTCGGGATCAAGAGCAGAACATGAGATGCACGGGGCCTGGGGGACATGCAAGACTCTAGTCCTAGCTCACTTGCCAGTGACTGAATTGAAGGCCTGCCAATCAGAATTTACTAATCTAGGCACAGTGAGTAGAGACCACCCCAAAGCCTAAGTCCCAAACCTAACCATCAACGAATCACAGCTCTTCTGCTCTTCTTCACTTCGGGCTGTCCCATCCCTTAGCTTGGACTCCCTTGGACACCCTGTCACTTGAGAACTTCACTAATAAAGAGCTTTGTTCAAGGATATTGGAGCTTCAATGACAATCTGAATTTCAGGATGGTCTTAGACAGATCTTGAGAGGGTGGATTGTTAGCTTTGCCGCCATGCCTCGAAAGCGCCTGCGTGGGCCAGAGACTGCTGCAAAGGCCAGTCCCACGGCTTCTCCTTCGCCTGAGGAGCCAAAGGCCGCTGCGGCCATTCCCACGGCTTCGCCGTCGTCGGCTTCGGAGCCAAAGGCTGCTGCTGCGGCCAATCCCTCGTCTTCGTCTTCGCCTTCGGAGCCAAAGGCTGCTGCTGCGGCCAATCCCTCGTCTTCGTCTTCGCCTTCGGAGCCAAAGGCTGCTGCTGCGGCCAAGCCCTCGCCGAAGACGGGTGGGGGGACTGCAAGAGATCCGCTCTCCAACACCAGCCGGAAGAGAGACAGGTGGGCGGCGCAGAATGCTGCAAAGACTAAGAGAGCCTTGGCACTTAAGTAGATTCAGATCGGTGTGAACAGTAGAATATGACATCATGCGATAATTAATCAAGGTCATTATGAAAGCAAACTATTTTTGCTGCACATCCGAGGCCAGCCACCAGTTGGGGCAGCTCCTCCTCCCAAGCCGGCAGCTGCACCTCCTCCGAAGCCGGCAGCTGCTTTCCCAGAGGAGCCTGTGCCCAAGATGCCTGCGGCTTCGCCACCGCCTTCGCCTTCGCCGGATCCGCTTGCAGGAGCGACATCAGATTCGGCTTCAAAGATTCAACTCCAACAAAGTCAAATACAAACATGTCAATGATACTTAGTATAACGAATGAATATAAAATTGCAGTTATACCAAGAATAAAGGATCAAATGGTCCAGAGTTTAATTCTGTTCAGGCATCCAGCACTTGACCTTCAAGCCTCCGCCACCTGCGCCTGTGCCTTCGTCTTCGTCTTCGGGAGACGTCTTCGCCGAGTGGACACTTGGCGTACTTCTGGTTGGCTCTTAGGACTTTAACTTTTTGGGTTTCTATATGAACCATAATAAGGGGGCTAAAAGTTTAACTTTTTGGAGGGGTTCAGAAGTCAGACAAGGACAAGTCGCTTCCAGGCGCTTTTGTCCTTGAAGACTCGGGTTTGCTGGATGCTCGACTCCGACGGCTACGCCACTGCGAGAAGGCACGGAGGCGACCCACACTCCATCCAGCAGTGCGTGGGGGACCCTGTCCGGCCCAAGACGCCTGGCGAGGCGCGGGACGCCATCCAGGCGGGGCGGGGTAAAGATTAGTCTCTTTGTTTATTTAAAAAAAACTTACTGAACCACCTTACTTAATTTTTCAACATTGAACTTGAACCGCAACTCCAGGTGCTGGACTACAGAATCACCCAGCTGCGACAGTGGGAAACGCTCTACAGCCTGCACAACCCCGAGCTTGCCATGTACGCCCAGTATGTCCAGCACAACACTTCGGTTGCTTGGTTTCGTTCGTAAGTTTTGTCACCCGTCCAAAATTTTCGAGTTGCTTCAGTTAGTACTTGCCCTTGTAACCGCTTCTTGTCTGTCTCAACTGAGACTGGTCAAGCATCTGCGCTTTCTGGCCTTCGGGGGCCGCCGACTTCGTATCGCCCATTGCCAAAGTTTGTGGGCGGCCAGGGCGTGGACCAGGGCAAGGGCGACCAGAAGGGCAAGGGCAAAGATGATATGGGCAAGGGCAAAGACGATAAGGGCAAGGGCAAAGACGATAAAGGGAAGGGCAAAGACGGCAAGGGCAAAGACGAGAAAGGGGGCACGAAGGGCAAAGACGAGAAGGGCGCATCAAAGGGCAAAGGCGAGAAAGGGGGCACGAAGGGCAAAGACGAGAAGGGCACGAAGGGCAAAGACGAGAAGGGCACGAAGGGCAAAGAGAAGGGCAAGGACTAGTTGGCCGCCTTCTTCTTCGTCTTCGCTTCTTTCTTCTTCGTCTTCGGTGTCCACTGCCCCGTGTTGGCTGCCTTCTTCTTCGTCTTCGGTGCCCAGTGCCCCGTGCTGGCTGGCATTTTTCTTCACCCGACGTGACCAGCTCAGCACCATGCAATTCAAAAAGGAGTGCTCGTGCCGAGACATGTTAACAGTGCTCTTGAAGAGTTGATCGGTGTCCAGTGATTATCTTCTGTTTGCGCCAGGCTTCATCAGACCCATGGGGTCAGAAGATGGTTCGTGACTCAGCATGCCATTCCTGGATTCCTGCCGCTGCACACGTAAGCTTATCTTCTGAATCTCCTGACTGCCAGGTCTGTTACTACAAGCAGCGGCCGGTTCCTCACTGAGCATGCAGTTCGGTGCACGTCCGTCCCTCTGGGTCTGATGGGACAGGTCGCCCCTCTCACCTTCGTCTTCGAAGTTGGCTGGACAGACGAGGCGCTTGTTTTGCCTTCCTCTCCAGCAGACATGCAGTGCAGAGGATAATCCTTGTAGTATGCCACGAAACCTTTGATTTTCATGCTTTGTACTACAGTCTCGGCATCTCGGTCGGTGCAGGGGGTTGTCGTCCTTGGAGCACTCTTCATATCTTCGCCTTGGGCCTGCCGTTTGGGTCCGTCGTCTTTTCGCTCGCTTCAGTCATGGGTAACCGGGTAACCTTCGTTTCGACACAGCATGGCGTCTTGTGCGGTCGTTTTTGGCTTGTTCTTCGTTTCAGTTTTGGCTCTACCAAGAGGCAAGCCTGCAAGGCAACCCAAAAAAACATCGGGCTTGCCTTCAAACCGTTGGCCGGGTTTGGAGCTCACACTCTTGGAACCATGTTGTGTCTGACAGAGCTTTTGGCCAACATGCTCCAGCCTTGGGAAGCAGACGACAGCAGGGCAATGTGCCAATGTGCCTGCTGGGCTCTGGGAAGGACACCATGGAGTACAGGGAGTGGATGTGGCGGTGGGGCGAGACCCGCATCTGTCCATATTACATGGGAGGCCTCTTGTGATCGATTGACTCGCTTGAGATTGCGTTGTGTTCCCTTTGCCGCTTGTCTTGTGTTGTGGCATGACTTGCTTGGCATGACTTGCTGATTGCCACATGAATGCGAGCCAGCGGAACTATGCTTACCCAGTGGAAAGGAGCCCCCCCTGCAAAATCCTCGACTTGTCGGGTGTGGTCTTGGCAAAATGTCCGGGATGAGTTGGCTGGCGATGGGGAGGCCCGTTGTCCCTTTGTCTTGTGACTGTGATTGTTCGATTAAGGACATGGCGTGCAGGCTGTAAGTGCTAGAATCCAAGCCGAAACATTGGCGATTTTTGTGCAGGTCGTTCCAAAGCTTGCGTCGGCATTCTCCAGCCTGAAATTTTTTTCGCCTTGGTCTTCGACAAAGCCTTTGATTTCCCCGATAAGTTATTGGATATGGCTTACAGGCTGTGTTTTCTTTTCTCGGAACCCCCAAATGCCGAAAACAGCTTTTCCGGCCTTGAAAACCTCGAATCAGCAGTCTCCAGCTTCCAAAATAGTTTCCTTCAGGTTGGAAACACAGACAGCTTTCGACCTGTCCACAGAGGTTTCTGGAAATGACGGATTCCAGGCTGCAGTCGCCGAATCACCCCCGGAAACATGCTTTTGGAAGCCGAAAACAGCTTTTCAGGCCGTGAAAAGCTTGAATTGGCGTTCTCCAGCTTCAAGAAGCTGGATTCTTCTTGGAAACACACAAATACACACAGCTTTCCACCTGGCCGCAGTTGTCTTGAAAAGGCTACATGGGTTCTAGGTTGCATTTGCCGAATCTAATCGAAAACATGCTGCTGGAATGCCGAAAACAGCTTTTCAGGCCTTCAAAAGCTTGAATCGGTATTCTCTAGCTTTAGCTTGATTGCTTTTGGAAACAGACACAGCTATTGACTTGCCCGCAGAACTGTCTGGAAGAGGCTACATGGGTTCTAGGCTGGATTTGCCGAATCAAACCGAAAACTTGCCACAGGTTTCCGAAAACAGCTTTTCAGGCCTTGAAAAGCTTGAGTCGGCATTCTCTGGCTTCAGGTTCATTGTTTTAACAGACACAGCTATTGACTTGTCTGGACATGGCTACGTGGTTCTAAGGCTGCGACTGCATTTGCAAGAATCAAACCCGAAACATGGGTACCGCACTATTTGGGCTACATGGGTCATGGGTTCTAGGCTGCATTTGCCGAATCAAAGGGAAAACGTGCTGCCGCAAGCCGAAAACAGCTTTTCAGGCCTTGAAAAGCTTGAATTGGCGTTCTCCAGCTTCAAGAAGCTGGATTCTTCTTGGAAACACACAGAGCTTCCGACCTGGCCTCCGTTGCCTCGAAAAGGCTACATAGTTTCTAGGCTGCATTTGCCGAATCAAAAGGAAAACGTGCCGCCGGAAGCCGAAAACAGCTTTTCAGGCCTTGAAAAGCTTGAATTGGCGTTCTCTGGCTTCAGGTTCATTGTTTTAACAGACACAGCTATTGACTTGTCTGGACATGGCTACGTGGTTCTAAGGCTGCGACTGCATTTGCAAGAATCAAACCCGAAACATGGGTACCGCACTATTTGGGCTACATGGGTCATGGGTTCTAGGCTGCATTTGCCGAATCAAAGGGAAAACGTGCTGCCGCAAGCCGAAAACAGCTTTTCGGGCCTTAAAAAGCTTGAATTGGCATCCTCTAGCTTCAAAGTTGGCTTCTTGTTGGAAACAGACACAGCTATTGAATCGCCCACAGAGGTGTCAAAAAATGCCTCAGTCGGTTCCCGCATTTTCCAGGATCAAACCCGAGATGCTTCTGGATGCCGAAAACAGCAGCTTGTGATGCTTTCTCACCCACCCCCCACCATTCATCACTGCAGTGCCACTGGCCTGCGGCTTGGGGAGTCACTGCACACGCCAAGCAGACCGCTGGGGTCCAAAGCGGTACTGCGACGACAGGGTCCAAGGCAACAGGGACGTTGCTTTGGCCGGTGTCGTTGGGGCTGTTACAGGTGAGCTGCCCGGGGGCCTTTGGGAGGCACACGTGGGACAGCCCTGCAGCCGGCAAGTGCACACCCTCCAGGCATGGTGGTTCCACCCTGGCCGAGTGGAGGTGAGAGTTTTACACTGGTGTTTGCAAAGACCACGGGGAAGGCCACCTGGAATTCCTGAGTCGGATTGCTTGATAACTCACATGTGGTGCTTCAGTGGTGCGATTGACAGGCTCTAGCCTCATAATCTCGATTCTTCAGAGACTCCGGCGCCCGTGGTAGGTTTCTGCCTTCAGCCCACACTTGAAATTCAACCGTGCTCCACGATGCCGGAAACAGGTATTCAGGCTTTAAAACCGCAAAGTGGCATTGTCCAGCTTAAGTTCGAAACGAATTTGCAGAAGATTGAATCGGCGTGCCCCGGCCTGCAAGGCTTTATTACCGACACAGGCACAGCAGTTTATGCTCCCTCGAAGCTTGGTTACTGTGACGAAACAGGTCCGAGGCAGAGGTTCTAGAATCACATCCGAGAACATGCAACCGGATTCCCCAAAACCGTTTTTGAGGCCTGAAAAGCTTGAGTATCCACGGATTCCTGCATAACAAGACTTAATTGGCAGTCTCAGCTGGAACTTCTTCGAAGAGCTTGCTGTGATGGGGTTCATTCATGCATGCGGGCTACTTTAAGGTTCCAATCAACATTGAAGGTTGCGTCGTTGAATCATGCCAGTTTCAGACTTGAATTGAAAAACACATTCTTCTGCTGATGCTACTGCATGCGACGTCCTTGCAGGCGGGAGTGATCCAGAGCTGATGGGCTCTTCCGTGTACTACCGGTGGCCAGAGCCTCATGGGACCTTCAATGATTCAGTGAACCCAACTCGGAGGCATCATGACACGAATTACAACGTATTGCCTGTCGCAGCTTTTTTTCTGGATCGAGTGAAGGACCCTGTGTGTCCTCAGTGTCCAAAGGGGTAGAATCCAGCTGCTTTCGTCGAGATGGTCCGAGTGCCCTGGTGGAAACAATCACGTCATCACAGTGCTTGATTCTGATTGTGACTGTCATTGCGTGAAGGCCACACCAACACGTAAGACTGGCAAGCAAACTGTCAAGATGGAGCCAGTGCCCTGGTCGCAAGCAAGGCATCCAAGCAGTTCCTTCCACACAGTCCTGAGAAGTGCTGCAAACAGGATGTCATGGAGAAGACACCGATGCGGAAAGTGCCGAAGTTGCATTCGAATCCACGCCGACCGAATGAAGAACACATACTGAGTAAGTTCCGATGAGAAGTGCAACTAAGGTCAAGAAGGAGCCCTGGTCGCCGTCGCCTTTGTCGTCTTCGCCTTCGACTGCGTGCTCGTCTTCGCCTTCGAATGCGTCTTCATCTTCGCCTTCGAATGCGTCTTCGTCTTCGCCTTCGAAGATCAATCGGCGTTTGGTGGAGTCGGACATTGCCAAACTCCAGGCAACTGGGTGCATATTTCATTTCTCTAGATCAGCTTGTGCAGCCATTCCTCTCGTGGCACGGCTAGAATTAGAATGAAGTTTCGCTTGAGGCAATCGACAA